AGCGAGTTTAAATATACCATGCGATAACACACGATTATCTTCTATCAACTACTACAATCCATTATGTTACAAATCTGGCTGGTTACCTGCGGTCACCTTTAAGGCCCCGAAACCTTTGGATCAAAGGGTCTAAGGCCTTAAGCTGCTTCTCCATTGCAGTTTGATGGGAAGGTCCGAGCTAAGGCCTCTTTAAGGCACGGTCATACACTGTCGGTCGGGCCTGTAGGAGAGGTAGATGGATCCTAGCTTACTGGGACCCAGTGATTTTTCGATGAGTGTAAGTCAGACAGCACCACATGAACATCTCTCAAGAGCCCCGCTGCAAACTCGTTGACCCTAGCCCTTAAAGTTGCGCAAACACACAACCTCACATGAGACATCTATGCCGCTGTTACCTGAACTGGAGATGTTCCGTCCAACTCATGTGGTGCTAGCGATGCAAAACTTTAGCCCACGACCTCCTCCTCAGACAACCTTCAGATTTCGAGCTACTAGCACTACTTCTGCTGCTACTACGCTCCTGCACCTAGCACTCGTACTGTATATTTTGCTCATAGTTGCATTCTTTGGGGTCTATGGCTCGTAAAACTGTACTGGGCACTGATGCCTATTTTCTCGTTCTTAAGATTTCGACAAGGCTCGAATGAGCAACAAAAGGCAGCCTGAGCACGGCGAAATTCACGGGAGCAGAAGTACGGTCATCGGAGTGTTGCATTTTACTACTGCTCGTTTGGCATTCATGCTTGGTTGCTACTAACGTCTATAAGCTATAGTTCTGATTTGCACAGCTCCAATTTGAACCTCATTCCAACTCTGTTTCTTCTGGGGCAGGAGCTGCAGCATACTAGAAAGTTCAGGACTCTTGCTGGAGAGGTCGTGGCTGTAAGCGGCTTTAAGATGGTGGACTGGGGTGCCGCATTGTTTGGCAATGCCGCACGTGCTTCAGCACCATTGGAGTAACTCACTATGCTGCACGAGGCCAAAAAAGACACACTCCGAAGTGCAAGAACCGGAGGCAAAGCCACAGGTTCAATTCGTGGCAGGTGGTAGCTTTGTCAAATACCCCTTCATTAGAAACCAAGATATGAGCAGGCTTACAGACAGCCTTCTCAAGCTTGTTAACTCAAGAAAATAAACCTTCGGGTGGCGGTGTCAGAACTCCGGCAGGACTTTGACCACTGGCTTCACTAGTAGTCAAACTCCTCCAGGGGCGGTGTGGCGGGTATCCTGAGTGCGTCAAACGATGCACACTTCAGTCAGCCGTAAGGTTTTCAGCTTAACTGATGTGGCTCAGGGCTTTAGATCCAGGGTTTCTCGCAGCCCGTTGACACTGCATCACGATGCTAACTCAATATCGCGGTTCAGCTTCAAATCCATATCCGGAGCCATCATTCAGACCAAGCGGCGGGATCACTCGGAAATTCGGCAGACTGCGAGCAAATGGGCTTCCTTGACACAGAGCACGGCTTCGCAGGAAAAAACCCATGCGTCCACGACTTCGCTAGGCCGACATCACGGGTGGACGATTGCGGCAGTTTAGAGGTTAGCAGCGAGATAGCAGGTACTATGTCCTAAACACTAAACTCTGAACCCCTAGCTAAATATGGATAAAAACAAATCGGTTCACTGCTTTCGGGGGACATCACAACTTCAGTCCTTCAATACCAGTTAGATGCCCGCAAATGTCTTGCATTTGGGGAAGCGGCTTTGTCGGTTGACATTCTTACTTTGCGAAGGAATTTTGCAAATTTAGCGAAGTTGCTCAGTGGGATCTTCAGCAGTGTTGCGCAGGATCTATAATCCCTATGCCCCGGAAAACCGTCAGCCCAATGTAACGAGCGAGAATCCCAACGTATGGCGGCCGTCGGTGTGCTCCCGAATGAGCGGCGTCATCGTCACACGCTGGAAGGTTTTCGGGTCCTGCAGCAGTCAAGCATCAAAAAATCGCCAGAACCCCAGGGGTAGCGTCAAACACAATCACAGGCAACACGAAGCCCAAAGCCAATCACATGTAACAGCTTGAGCTAAACCCTACAGCCTTAACCCTAAAAGCAAACCTCGCTGAATGATGCATTGAAGCCCTGCACCTGAAGCGAAGTCCTTAGCCGAAGGGTTGCAAGTGAAAGCCTTTAGGGTTTAGGTGTTAGGGTTCTGGTGTTGTAAGAAGCCATCTGGAATCTAACGCCATCCAGGGTGGATGCTTGTCACCAGCCTTCCATGTATTCACAAATGCTCGGCAGTCCCTCACAGCCCTAACCCCGTGCTTTCAAGTCCTTGTTGCTGAAGACGCCTCCCCACGTCAGTTTGGCAGCGCCTGGCACATGGGACGAGTTTCACATGACCAGGGCCGACTGTAGACCCCAGGATATGAGTTCATCAGCATCATAGAAACTAACAAACAAGGAGTATGCAGCGGTGAGGACTAACTAGGCAAGGTGACAAAAATAGAGAGAACAGAGGTAGAAGCATGGACGGCAGAAAGGGGTGCACATTTTGACATGTAAGAACATGTAAGAGTCTCTGAACTAGTGTTTGAGCCACAACCCTAAACCCTAAACCCAAGAGCCTGACGGCATGCGTCCAAAAAAAAGCAAAATTTAGGGTTTAGGGTTTAGGGGTTTAGGGTTTATCAACAGCTGACAGTCGCTCTTCCAAAAAGACTGGGCTTTGAAGTAACCAGGGAGAAAAAAGTATGGACTTTTATTCTATAATGGTTCCTTTAAGGAACAGGTCCCAAAAAAGTATTAAAGTATGGTACTCCAAAGCGCAGAAGAACAGTGGCAGGGAAGAACATCAGGCCAAACAGGAGACCTAGCCAGACATAGCGCACCTCAAAATGTGGCAAAGAGAACGGCCAGTAAGGAAACAAGCGGGCTTGCCCCTGAACCATGCCCAACCAAGTTGCTGATGTTGCTGGTCTTGAGCCCGATCCTGGTCTCTTCAATCTCAAGCTTTGGGGCTTTGGGCTTGGCGTGTTGGGCTAGAGCTGTTCGGTGTACGACTCTCTTTGCATCAGCCTTACGGGCTTTACGGTTTGGGCAAGGTATACTACGTCCAGTGTTGGAAACGATGCTGCCGCATCCCGGCCCAGCTGACTTCGGGGTGGTGCAAAGCTGGGGTAAAACTGGCACCTCCATTAGTTGAGTAGCGCTTGGGGTACAGGGAACGCCGGAATTTTGGAACATTGAACATGGGTTTAGGATTAGTGCTACTGTTGATGATATAAATCCTGCACTACCTTAAGGATCCTAAACTATGGGAATCATGGTATATTCCTTACCCAATGCAGGATTTCTATATCATCAACCGTAGGATCTTTACAGTAATACTTTTCGCCTTAAGGACATGCGAAGATGGATGCTGCAACTTTCGGGCTTCTACTGCATGTTACACCACACCTTGAGGAACCCTACGAGCACGGACCAGCATTACCACTTATTCTGGTCCCTGTAGCAATCCCCCCTCAAAACCTGGCCGTTTCAGAAATTTACTGGGCTTATCTAAGTCTATATCCCTAAACCCTAAACCCTAAACCCTAAACCCTACACTCCACGGCGTAGCCGGATCCTCATTAGAAGGACACTTACCCATAGGGCCCATAGTAGTTCCTTTTTGGGATTACCTTATAGGATTCTAAATATGAACCCCAAAAAAGGAACTACTATGGGTACATACCCATCATCTGAAGGAAGGCTCTGCGCTCGGTGAGTATGATTCCCTAAGGCTCCATGTGCCCACATAGTAGATACCTAGGCCTTAAAGTAGCTATATAGGGACCCCTTTGAGGCCTAAGTATCTACTATAACGGTACATGGAGTTTTAGGGATTTATCAACCTCCTCCACGCATGCTTTAAGTCTTCTTTGAAGCAGGGCTCTGCAGCTATGCCTGCCCCTCCAACCCCGAGCTCATGGAACGCGGGGTCTTCGGACAACCCCATGTTGAGAGGCTGCTGATGATAGTGTGATGATGATGATGATGATGACGTACGTACATTCTTGCTGTTGCTGTATTCAACTAGCACCCCCCTGCTCCTATTTATAATGTCGGAGGGCCTTGTGCGCACATAGCTCACATTCGCTTCGAACTGTGCTGTATAAACAGTTCGTTGATCAGGGCCTGACACCCAAAACGGTTCAAACCATGTGAATGAACAGCAATGCGAATCTGAGTGTCGAGCCCTCAACCCTAAACTCTGAAGTTTTGAAGCCAAGATCTGTGGCAAGAGGGTGAAATCGCCCATGCTGAAGCAGCCGTGCATAGAGCCTTGGGAACTGGACAGGAGCGCGATTTAGGGTTCCTCCATGCGAGGAATTGAGGCCTTTGGCCTGAGGGGAGCTAGACCTAGGGTCTCCCCGGGTTTAGGGTTTAGGGTTTAGCGTTTAGCGTTTAGGGTTTAGGGTTTAGAGTTTAGGGTTTAGGGTTTAGGTTCCTTATGCCCACTCCTGAAATGCTATTGGCGTGTGTATGTGTGTGGCTTGTGGATCTGACGAGGGGTGTGTGGAATCTGGGGGAATCTTGTATGAGTGAAGCTTAGCATGTTGCAGCCCTAAGCCATCACTGAGACTTCGATCGGAGACAATGTAGTTGGAAGAGATTTGATTGCCCGGGTGCCTGCCTTTGTTGATCCCCAAACCCTATAACCCTGAGATGGTTGTACGAACGGACGGTTCACTCTAGGTCAATCATCTCGGGGTTGTGTGATATGGGAATGGTGCTAGAACAAGCTGGAAAAACCTACAGGACATCCTAGGTCCTATGCCTGTTCTACCCGCGGAGCTGGGAATTATGCCTGGGCAGGACCTTTTGCTTCTCTCCACGGCCTTTCACAGTGTTGCTGACAGTGGGGGCTGCTGCCAGCGTTTTAGCAATGCTAAGCGAGTACCCGCACTATCGAAGTACCTTGAAGCCTCAACTGCTAAACCCGAAATTGCGCGAAAGTCCCTGCTTCGGATCCTCCGCGCACACCTCTCAAGCTTCCGAAAGCCTGAGCCAAAGAGCGGTTTGCTTCGGCAAGCCCCGCTGCCGAGAATCCTGCCTGCAGCCGGACAGAGAGCATAGAAACCAATGTAGTTAATGTAGAGACCCTAATAACAAGAATAGGGTTGTTGGCTCCTTTAGTATGCATATAATTAACAAAGAACCCTAAGGAATAATATTAGTACTTATTTAGGCTTCTATAACAACTAGGGAATTTCGGATCTATGATTCATATGATTCAGCGGCTTGGTATCAAGAGACCTGAGGGTTTGGGGGATTCTGGAAGCATTGATAGGACCTGCGGCCAGACAGAAAACCGATCAGATCAACCAGGCTTTCTGGCCTTAGGGTTTAGGGCTGTGGTGGTTGAGGGTTTAGGGTTTAGGGGTTTAGGGTTTAGGGTTTAGGGCTGTGGTGGTTGAGGGTTTCGGGGTTGCTGGGTTTAGGGGGTTATGCTTTCGTGCGCTGCTACATATTCATATCAGGTTTTCACTATCACTGACTCTTCCTGTCCTGCACAGTGGCCCGCTCGAAATTATGCGACTGAGATTCTTCCTAGTGCCAACACCTGGCCAAAGCAAAGGCCGTAGCAAGGACAGGCTTAGGTGCGTGGTTTTTGAGTTGTTATTGGCTGAGGCGACAAGAGAAAACTGCAAGCTTCAAGTTCGGAAACCCTAAACCCTAAACAGAAACCTGAACCCTAAGCACTAAGCCATGAAAGGCAAGCCCTAAGCCGCCATACCCTAAACCCGAAAGAGTCCCCAAACCCGAAGCCCTAGCGAGGGGCCTTACATACTTTAAGAGCCGTATGCTAATATTAGGGTCACCACCAGAATCTTTGACCTCTGGTGACTCCAGTTCAGAAAGAACAGTGTAGCTATCAGTAACGACTGTGGGGTCTGGAGCTCCACTTCCAAAACCCATAGGTTTAGGTTTAGGGTTTAGGGTTTAGGGTTTAGGGTTTAGTTTAGGGTTGAGGGTTTAGGGTTTAGAAATGATCTCAAATGCGAAGCTCCCGAGCTAATGCGTCCGTGACTCCGTGCGAAGCTCTGAGAGAGAGAAGCCGCAGCTCCTGGTTTGCTTCGGTGATTTATGGATTAGGTTAGGGGTTAGGGTTTGGGGTTTGGGGTTTAGGGTTTAGGGTTTAGGGGTTTCAGGGTCTACCTGGAGCCCCAAAAATATGTGGAATACCAGCCTTTTATAGGTGTTGTGCCATCTTTTTACCTACCTTCTGTGGAGTTCAGGTAGGGTGTTAAGGCGAAGCGTTAGTGACACGGAGCCTGAAATCGCCACCAGACCTCAGGAGCAGGGCTGGATGCGAAGAGTCTCCGACTGCACATCAGAGCCGTATCAAAAGCGTGTGCAGGTGTGTCATGCTGCCTACGCCTACTCTCACCCTCCTTGCAGAAAACCTGCTGCTTTTCCAGGAACAGGATCCGTGGCAGTGGGTTAAATCCAAATGTGCACCTGCAGCACTCAAAACCGGTCCTGCAACACCTTAAGCTGCCCAAAGCCCTTCGACCTAAACAAGACGAGCTGCAAGCCAGAGCCCTGCAAACTTAAAACCCGAAAAGCTCGTCGCTAAGAAAGTCGGCGCTTCCAAGCTCCTCAGCTCAACGATACCTAAACCAGCGCGTCGAAGGTCCGTGGCCGTGTAGCCTGCTGGGTTAGGGGTTTAGGGTTGGCCTGGGTTTTGCAGCGGGGTTAGGGGTTTAGGGTTTAGGGTTTAGGGTTTAGGGTTGCAGTATTGGTTTCAAGGCAACGAAATGAAAATGGTTTTCACGCCAAGATAATTCAAGATACTCGTAGCTGTACATTGCCGAACTGACGTATCATCAAGAGCGAGTTCCCGACCTGGCATTAATCCTTGAACAGTCTTCTAAGGCTTCGAACCCCTACAACCTCTGGATCTAAGCCCTAGCCGCCACAAACACAAACAGCAGCTTTGACAAGATGCGAGGAGCTTCAAGTTCAATGACAGCACGGTTAACCAAAGCAGCGGTGCAACCAAAGTACGTAGGTAACAGCTACGAAGCCGACGACGAGGACGACGACGGCGACTACTGCTACTACACACTACTACACACTACTACAATCTACTACATACTACGACACACGACGAAATACTACATACTACTACATACGACTACATACCCGCATACTACTACTATATACTACTACATACAAGTACATACCACGACGACGACTACTAAAGCTACTACTACTAATACTACTA